CCGGAAGTGGCGCTGTGGCTCAAGTGGTAGAGCGCTAGCCTTGAGCTGAAGAGCTGAGGGACAGTGCCAGGCCCAGAGTTCAGGCCCCATGACCGGACCCAAAAAAACCCCCAAAAAACAAAAAAAGCCCAAAAAACAAAGTCTATGTGAATATTTATTTTTTTCTAGAGAAATAAAATACTCTACAGTTGCATCAAATTCCACAGTCTAAAGTCCATAAAGTCAAGGAATATAATATGACAAAGTCATTAATCTATTATTTTATAGACTAGGGTTTTCCTTAATATGATATGCATTCTACTGGTGATAAAAGAAATGTCTTTTATGTTTATATAAAGAAACTTATGTCCAGTGTGTTCATATTCATAGTTGTTTCATTAGTTTATCAATGACAATCTAAAAAAAGGTCTTTGGGCTGGGAATGTGGCTTAGTGGTAGAGTGCTTGCCTAGCATGCATGAAGCCTTGGGTTCAATTCCTCAGAAAAAGCCAGAAGTGGCCCTGTGGCTTAAGTGGTAGAATGCTAGCCTTGAAGCTCAGGGACAGCGCCCAAGCCAAGTTCAAGCCCCAGAATTGGCAAAAAAAAAAAAAAAAAAGGTCTGCCTACCGCAACAGAGTGTTATAGCTCTTAAATAATGCTTTATTCCCTTAATTTTGTTTCTGCTTTTAGTAATTATGCATATATCCTACATAGTTATCACATATTATATATGTGATTTCTTAGCCACTAGTTCCTGTTTATAGCACGGCTATACTTTTAAAAATGAGTTAAGAATATTGAATGAAAATCTCACAAATTATCAATATGTCCATTAATAGAAATTAGTAACATTACAAATACTTTTTTGAAACAAGCCATTTTAAAACATACCAAATCTGAATGTACTTACGTTTACAAAGGTCAAGAAAGAGCTCCTCAATTCCTTTGTTTTGTTTGGCTGAAGTATGATAATGTTTTGCTCCCACAGACTCTGCATATCTTAAAAAAAAAATCAGTGATCAATGTAAAACACTTCAAGTTTTCAGTAGCAGTGATTTTAGTGACTTATTCATTTACCTTTAATAACTTACTAATTCACCCACCTCTCTATACACTGAATGTAGTTTTAAATAACACAAATAGGACCTGAAATTTTTCTACAGTAATCTGGAACTCAGACTTTTATGATTCACTGACATTTGAGCATGAGTTTTCTTGTATTTTTCATGTTTTTTTCTTGTACTTTTTAAAATTTACATCATTCTTGTATTTTTTGTTGAACTAAAAAAAGGATGTGAAAGTGAAGTATCCTTAAATATTGCCCAAACTCCAGAAATTACTAGTGTAAACATGCTTCACTGAATCTCTAACAGTTCAATCCACTTTAAGGGGTTTGAAGAATATTTAAATGGTAAATAACACAGTACAAACAAGAAGACTCCTACTAGACAATAAAGGATTGAGGAGAGTATAACACTTACGATTCTGCTTCTTGAATGGAAACATGTCTCTCTTTTTCCAAATCTATTTTATTACCTAATTGGAAAAAAGTAAATGCTGATCTTAGTACTGATGCTTTTTAAAAATAATTAAACTAAGCCAACTCAAAATATTTAATTGCCATTTTAATTATCTAATACAAACGTCCACTTGAAAGTCTTCTTAAAAGCTCTAAAGTTAACCTCCAAGATGTAAGTACTGTTTCTGACTGTCACAATGAATGTCCTATCCTCCTGCACATGGGTCAATGTATAACCCCCCTGAAGTTTCAGACATTCTAAGAAACCACTTTTCCTAAAGACTTAGGCACTATTCATTGATGTACTAAGGATTAGGATTCCCTTGGGAATCTAGATAAATTATGATCTTAGTAAAGTATAACTAGTTAAAAGAAAAAAATGTTCTATATCCCCCAATTAACTTAAAACCAGTCAAGTAAACCATAAATAAGGCTAATTTATGGTTTATTAAAATATGTTAGGCTAATTTCTTGGATCCTAAGAGTATTATTGCTTTCTGGATAAGATGGTTAATGTAAAAATTAAGTTGTATGGCTTAAGTACTTCATATTAGAGTAAGAAAAACTGGATGGTTTAAGAAACAATTTTAATAACTTGGTGTAGAAATGAATGTATATGTCATATAGATGTAAAATTACAGAAAATAAATTTATCTCTTCTTAGGCAATAGAACCAAGGAAACATTAAGCTTAATAGCCATCAGAACATCTGAAGACCTTTCCAAACACAGATTCTTTATTGACTATCAGAGAGAAGGTGAGGTAGTTGTACACATAGTGTTAAAGGTAACTAAAACAAGACAGGTATAGGCAAAAATAACATAAGCAAAGACACATCCAATAAATTTTTTATATCTTATTATTGACTTTTAGGTGAAATGTTAAAAAAAACCTCTCCCAATTAAGATCATTTCTTCCATGGACCTTAGAGTTTAGAACGTAATTGTAGATAAACTTCATTAAAGGACACAATGAACTGTTTAGAATAAGGAAGTACAAGTCCAGAGACTCAGCACCATCTGGTGGCAAGTGGCTCCGCTAAACTAGTACAACATTCTGTCTCTAAAGTAAAATAGAACAGATAGAAATTAACTAAACTCCTGTGAATTTTTTTATAGATCTTTAATGCCTCATTTTCTACATTTGACCAGAATCATCAACAAATATCAAAACAGCCTACTAAAAGTAGGACATATTTATACATTGCTTTATCATATGACAAACTTGACTAATTTTAATAAATTAAGTAATAACTAATTACATAGTTAAAATAACAACTTAAAAATCGACTTTGTTAGTTTAAATGTAAGTCTTTTTAAAATCTACCACTAAAGGCGTCATAGTTATTACTTCTTTGAACAGTCACTACTCACAATGGTTGCTAGTATAGACTATATCACAGAAAACTGGTCTGCTATTTCCTGACAGCTTTCTAAAGCTAAAAGCCTGTTTTAGTTTCATAGTCTTTTTCTTTTTCTTTTCTTTTTTTTTTTTTTACAAGCAGTACTTTGAACTTGGGGCCTCATGCTATTTGGCTGGCTTGTTTGGCTTGTAATCTACCACTTGGGCCATGTCTCCAGACAGGCTTTTTGCTGGTTATTTTTGAAAATGGGAGTCTTTTGGACTTTCTGCCTCGGCTACACAGAATTGCTATCCTCTAGATCTCAACTTCCTGAATAGATGGGATTGAGCCACTAATGTCTGGCTTGACTTTTGGATTCTTTCAAAAATAAAATAAATAAGGCTCTGAAAGCACTGCTCTGCTTCAGGTCTGTGTAATTGCAGTTACACGGAGTGGGGGGAGGGGGGCTTGCTAGTAGTCTAAAACAAAGACAACCAACTAAAGAAACCACGAAAGAAAAGATACTGTTATTAAACTCAGAAAAACAAATAGGCTATGGAAGGAAAGAATAGTAGAAACAAAACAAGAAAATGTATCTTCATTAAAAGTACATATTTAAATAAAGAACATGGAAGAGATTAAGGATACATAGTTCAGTGGCAGAGTGCTTACTTGACATATGAAAAACCCTTGAGGTTAGTACAAGTAGTAGAGGACTTGTTTAAATAAGCGCAAAGACCTAAGTTCAAATTCCAGTACTAAGGAGGAAAATTTGTGGAAAGAAAGAAGGTCTAGTGAAAAGGAGTAAGTCATTTTTATTATACACAAAGATTCTTAATACATATTTGGGAAAAAATGTCTTCACTCCTTTTTAAAATTATTTTAAGTTCTTCATGTTATCCTAATGATATGATATTATATGCAATGCAAGTTCAGGATCAATGATAAATGATCTCTCAAAACTGTTACAACTCTAAATTCAAACTAAAATCCCCATGTCATACTTGCTAATAGAAGGAAGACTTTATACTTGATGCTCATCATTAATAAACTTTATGTAACATTAAAATAGGATTATTTAATCCTACTTAATTCAGTAGGCTACTAAACCCAATATTTTTTAACAATTTGAAATATTAAGATCTTAAAAACATGAACTGAAAGAAACCCACAAACATAATAATCTTAAAACAGACCCATTATTCTTAAGCTATCTTATCATATAAAACATATAAAATATATAACTTAAGTGAAATATTCACATGCTTATTTAAACCAGTTAATGTTTTTTAACTGTCAACTCTTCAGCTCAAGTGCTCTACCACTTGAGCCACAACCCACTTTTGGTCTTCTGATAGTTTACTAGAGATAAGAGTCTCATGGTCTTTCCTGTCCGGCTGGCTATGAACCGCAATCCTCAGATCTCAGCCTCCTGAGTAGCTAGGATTACAGGTGTGAGCCACCAGGGCCCGGCATGAATACATTTCTTTTTGAGCAGTGATACCCCCTCCCTCATTTTTCCTCTACTTTCTTCCTGGCTCCCCCCGCTCCAAGTTGTAAAGTTCATTTCTAACATAGTATCTAGTGAATATCGCTGTTGCAATGTTCACCCTTTGTCCCACTGTTTCTGTGATTCTTCTTCCTTTCCCCAAGTCAGATAAACTATATATATACAAGACAAAGTATTATGTACAGGTTAGTAATTTCTCTCTACAGAAAGATGACAGAATTTCAAAACTAAATGTTCAGATTACTGTGGCTACTTTGACTCTTGGTAAATATTTAATACTATACAAAGCCATGCAAACCACACTAATGACTAGCACCAGTTCTGACATGGAACTATGTGGTCTATTACCCCATTATTCCTGCTATCTAACCTAAGAATCTAGATCAAGAATCTAGACCAAAAACTAGGACAAATCAACTCTATAGCCTCTTTTTCCAGATTTGTACACTAATATGAGATTGTAAAGTTTACCCATCTAATGTGTCAGGATTCAAGAAATAAAAATTATATATGGCTACATGCAAAATTTCCCTAACTCTGAACTCTCCATTCTCTCATTTCCCCCAATACCATCTTGATCCTCCACTACAACTATCCTAGGTTCTCATGCTCACTCTTGCAATTATAGACACACAAGAATAAAGAGAGAAAACAGACTGAGGCTATATATCACAAGAAGTAAGACCATAAGCACAGAAATTGGAAGACTTCAGTTCAAATCCATCTGTATGACTGCCTAACATTGGGCAAAAAATTATATATGTCCAAGACTCATCTTCTTTCTATACATATGTAAACCTTCCGGTATCATCAGGATTTCATGAAATAAAGTCTGCTGAGTTTACAATATAAACTCTAGTACATTTAGTTGCTCAGATATCAGCAAATTACATAAACAATCTAGAGAAAAAAGGATACCTAAGAAAAATTCTACACATTTAAAACTGAGTTCTAGAAGTCTTTTTTTTCCTATTAGCAATATTTTATTACCTTAGGATCCTGACCTATTGGTATATTTGAAGTTAAAATTTGTCCTTGATACAAAAATGCATAGTGAGCTGTTAGAAATGTAAATTAGTGTCATCACTACAAGCAGTTTAGAGATTCCTCAAAAAACTAAACATAGAACTAACTACCCTATGATCCAGAAATAGCATTCCTGGGCATTCATCCAAAAGATAACAAGTCAGGATATGGTAAGGACACTTGCACAAACCATATTCAATGCCCTAGTGTTCACCACAGCCAAGATAGGAAAACAGATCAGATGCTCTACAATAGATGAATGGATCAAAAAAATTTTATACAGAAACACACACACATACAAAATGGAATTCTATTCATCCATCAGGAAGAATTATTGAATCATTTGCAGAGAAATGGACCTAACAAAAATTATGTTCAGCGACACAAAGGGCACATGTTTTCTCTTGTGTGTGGAAGTCAAACTTAAATTATAATGCATAAAAACATATACAGATCATACACATGTACATAAACATATTATCTAAAGCTTGGTATATGCAAGGGAGATTGTAATGGTATAACTGCTTCAAACAACTAACTCACAGTTTAACAATAAAATACTAGGAAGCTGAAATGTGTTGTCAGGGGAAGAAGGTGAAATCAAGGGGGGGGAAAGGGTAGATGAATGGAGAGATGGTAGGTAAGTGGAGTCTTAACATTTAATATACAGATACAAAATATACAAATATATTAATAATGACTTAATTAATACACAAATATGAAATGTTGTGGGGTGATACCAGGTAACTTTAGGGTATGCATGGTTGGGAAAATGATGGAAGGAGTTACATTTCTCAAGATTCACTGTACACCATAATTGGTATATTGAATTGAACTAACCCCCTTTGTACAACTACTTGAAGATAATGAAATTTTTTTTTCAATGTATATAATCAAATGTATAGAACAAGAACATTGGCTTAGGTCTTTGGCTTTAGTTTTGTTTTAACGTAGTTCCTAAACTCTTTTTCTAAAAGCAATCTTATGGTGAAAAAGTAAAGGTTGAATTGAAGCAAGGCTAGTGAACCTGAAGCTTAATGGATTTAAAAGCTTTTCAGTAGTTCCTTAAAGGAATTCCTACAAGTCTGGAATATAGAAAATGACCTTCAAATCCTCAATTATTTGAAATATTAGTATTAAAGACATTAATTCTTCCACTCTTGTATCACTTTTAAACAAGAATTACTTGTTTGCTATATACTTAATAAAACATTAAAGAAATACAAGACATCTTATAAAATGAATGATACTTACCAACTATACATAAACAGATTTCATTTCCCAACATTTTTCGTAATTCTTTGACCCAGTTTTTTACCTGTATGTACAAAAAAGTAGAAAAAAAATATTGTTGGAATTACTATTATAAAACCTAAAAATTCAACACTGTCAAAATACCTTAGAATTTTATCTAACAGCCTGTGTTTAGTTATTACTTGGAATAACACACTAACCAATCATTTATTGTGAGTTTACAAACCAAGTAAATTTCATACAATGGAAAGATATTTCTCTGTATCTATGAATATATACAAATGCACCTTAATTACAAATTTTTATAAATTTTTCGTAGCTTCAAAAAAGCTAAGCCACAATAAAAGCATGCCAATCCGAAGTTCAGCCTCTGATAATAAATGTTTGTAACTAGGGTCACTTGGACTTAGGAAGTCATGGGCTTTAATACACAAATTGGTTCCTAAACAGAGCACCTAAGAATTTCATATATAGAGGCCCCCCTCCAAAAAATGTGTATGGGCACCAAAAAAATGTTGCACAATAAAATTTCATCATTTAGTATATTACAAAAATTTTCCATCTTCGCACTACTGACACTTTGGCCAAGATAGTTCTTTGTTGTGGGGTGAGTGTTGTATAGTAGTGATGGGTTAGCAACATCCTTAGCCTACCAGCAGAAGTATCCTACACAACTATAAGCCAACAGCATTCTCCAGTGATTACACTGATGACACTCAAAATGTCCCTAGACACTAGCAACCTGTGTTAGAGAACACCAGTACTGGACAGTTCAGAAAAACTGATTCCACTATGAAGCACAGCAGTGGACACAGCTGAAAGCAGACACAGTGGACACAGAGGAATTAAACAAATTCACTTTTTGAATATCATTCATGCTTTTAAATATTATAATACACAATAATTATAGTAAAATCATAAGACAAAAAACACACTAGGATACCTGCCTTCCTGTCTTGTAATGAAATTTTATCTGTTTGAAATCAAATCTCACAGACTTATACACTTTCCTTAGGAAAAGTCACACATATCTATAAATCAGAAAAATTAGGTACATGGTAAGCACTTACTGTGCATCTGGTACTATGGTACAAATGTAACAGTTCCATACTTCTATTCTCTGCAAGATTGCAGAGGAACTGTCCTTAGTAAACCCAAAATCTTTATAAAAGCAAAAGTAATTATTATGCTCACTGTATCTTGGTAATGAACTAAACCATAATTTTCTCAGGATAGATTTCTGTTTCAGTCACATATATTTATAAAGTTTTCAAAGCATTTACTTTAGCTGGTTTCACGTAAGTAACAAATGACAGTAATATATAAAATGTATATCAACTCCAAAGAAATATAGCAGAATCCACCTATATTATTCCACTCCCTGTATGTATAGTTCAACCATCTACTAATCCAATTTTCTAAAAAAATTAATTAATTAAAAACAGTTACTATTCATCTCTAATTAATTTTCCTCTATAGGCATCCCAATGTTCCCATACGTTTTGTGGCTAGTCAATCACAGATTCTTCTCTTCCTATCAAGTGGCAATCAAATTCCCAACCTTTGAATTTTGACAAGTCTTGTAACTTACTGTACTCATGAGAATGGGGCAAATGAAATATGTGGCCACTCCAGATTTAGCCCTAAAGAAGTCCTGGCAGCTTTATAAAAATCCAACTGTGGGGGCTGGGAAGGTGGCTCAGTGGTAAAGTGCTTGCCTTGCATGCTTAAGGCCCTGGGTTCGATTCCTCAGCACCACATAAGCAAAAAGAAAAAAGCCAGAAGTGGCGCTGTGGCTCAAGTGGTAGAGCACTAGCCTTGAGCTGA